GGGTAGTGCATTTTAACTCTGATGCTACACAAAAACTAATAATGCATCAAAGCTTATATTTTGGCTAATCTTTGACATATCCAAGACTGATTTGAAAAGAATCCCCCCAGCCCCCCAACATTTGTTATATGGAAAAGAACTCATTTTTTGTGTGTATTTTCATAAAAAAATATTAGCATCATGTAATCAAACTGGCATTTAAAGGGTTAAAATCCTGGTATTTATTCAGTATTTGACCAATCAATCAATCGATCAATAGCTTTACCCCAAAAAAGCAGAAAAAAAATATTAATCTGTATTGTTTTTGGAATTGGACATTTTTGTCCTTAATGACTTAGAGGGTAGTAAATTCTAAATCTGATGCTACACAAAAACTATAAATGCAATTAAGTTAATATTTTGGCTATTCTTTGACATATCCAAGACTGATTTGAAAAAAAAAAAAAATCCTCCAGCCACCCAACATTTGTTTTATGGAAAATAACTATTTTTTGTGTTGGTTTTTTTTTTCATAAATAACAGTGACATCAAGTAATCAAACTGGCATTTAAAGGGTTAAAATCCTCAAAATGATTGAATGTTTGGTAGATTTGGGCAGAGTGGAAGTTGTTTAAGAGATTTATGCAGAAAAAAGCAGAAAAAAATATTAATCAGTTAAATTTTTATTGCAGTTTTTTGGAAGTGGACATTTTTGTTCCCAGTGACTCAAGAGGGTAGTAAATTAAAGTGATGCCTGGGGGTTAATCCTTCTTCCTCATTTAAAAATTCCAGAATCTACATATATGCAAATATTTTTTAATTTCAAAGATTTTCCTGCTGAACACCAGATGTCTCCTTCAAAGATACAGAGTGTGTAAAGTCCACACTCTGTATGTGCACTGAAGACTTTAAATGTTCCGATCACACTTGTATCCAAACTGTTGGTAATATCACAAATCGTTCTCATAGGACCATCAATTAAATATTTATATAATAAATATATAATACACAGAAACTTTCTTCTTTCCGCAGATTAATGTAAAATGTATTGAGTTGTTAATCTGCACATACATCATTCTTCACAGTGAGCGCACCCCACCGGGACCTTCTCTTCCCTACAGTTTTTGTCTATATATTCCCTTTTGTGTAAATATTCCTTTCATAATTTTTATCTATATTGTTTACTTTTTTATCTATTTATAATTGAGTGTGGATTTAGTTGATATTTTTCTGGTATTCATTGCAGTCAGCAAAGGAAGAATTTCATTGTACAGGGAAACGTGTTTCCTCACTGTGCATATGACAATAAACACTTTGAATCTTAACCTCATGACGTTGGTTTGTTATTAAGGATCGCCATGGAGCGGCATTAGCTAATTTTTCAATTTCAATTTTGTTTATAAAGCCCAATATCACAAATCACAATTTGCCTCAGAGAGCTTTACAGCATACGACATCCCTCTGTCCTTTGGACCCTCACAGCAGATAAGGAAAAACTCCTTTAAACTTTTAAAAAAAAAAACTTTAACACAGGGAAAAATGGTAGAAACCTGAGGAAGAGCAACTGAGGAGGGATCCCTCTTGTAGGACGGACAGACGTGCAATAGATGTGGTACACAACAGATCAGCATGATAAACTAACAGTAATCCGTATGACAAAATGATACAGAAAGAGAGACAGAGAGAGACCGTGAGAGATGCAGCAGGACAGACAGTAATGACAACAACATTAATCTAAGTAATAATATTACAATAATAATTATGGCTATTGTGGTACGATATGTTGTAGGTATATATTAATATAGACAATAATAATATGTGTATAATGACAGTAGAAGTATGACTAATGATAACGGCAGCAGAAGGAGGTATCAGGCAGGACCATGGCAGCAGCACAACCACATACGTCACACCATCCAGGTGCCGTTGCAATATGAGTTAACCTGCGAGACAGTGGAGCACAAAGGCTCCGGAGAAGAAGCCGAGTTAGTGACATGCAGTAGAGCCTAGTTAGCGAGATGCAGTAACAGGACATGATTGATCAATCAATCAATCAATCAATTTTATTTATAAAGCCCAATATCACAAATCACAATTTGCCTCACAGGGCTTTACAGCATACGACATCCCTCTGTCCTTATGACCCTCGCAGCGGATAAGGAAAAACTTCCCAAAAAAAACCCTTTAACGGGGAAAAAAAAAACGGTAGGAACCTCAGGAAGAGCAACTGAGGAGGGATCCCTCTTCCAGGACGGACAGACGTGCAATAGATGTCGTACAGAACAGATCAGCATAACAAATTAACAGTAATCCACATGACACAATCAGACAGAGAGAAAGAGAGAGAGATGCAGGTAATGACAGTAGCTTACAACAACATTATTGAAAGTAATAATATTATAGTTATAGTTCTGGCTACTGTGGTACAATATGTTGAAAGTATGTATTAATATCTGGCAGTATACATGTGTGACAATAGTCATATGTGTATAGTAACAGTAGAAGTATGACTAATGATGACAGCAGCAGCAGCAGGAGGCATCTGGCAGGACCACGGCAGCAACACAACCACACACGTCACGCTGTCCAGGCACCGCTGTGATATGAGTTAATCTGAGAGACAGTGGAGCACAAAGGCTCCAGAGAAGAAGCCGAGTTAGTGACATCCAGAATGGC